ATCTATCAGTGCACTCAATTTTATAGATGGTTGACTCTCTTTAGAAAACCATTTGTTCGGTTTTCCTATGCTCAACTCTTCTCGCGGGAGTGTTCACTAGAGTCGAGGATGTGTGTCAAAAAAATGGGTTGAACATATACCCCTGACATAAAAAAGGGAAGCATGGTTGTTTTTTTTTTTTGGGTGTGGAGGTACTCCCTCCTGTGCATCCAGTGGCCTTATTTGGGCTTAAACATAATGCATTAAATGTCAAGAGTGAAAGGACTATATGATCTAGCACAATATTTATAGGTTAAAATTTTTCTTTTCTTTCTCTTATTCTACAAGCTAAATCATTCACAGATGTCCAACATTACAATCTAAATTTAAAAATAAACCCTAATACAATCTAGGATCTTCTCTTACATACATTGCAATTCTATACAACAAAAAAAAATACAATGCATGAAGAATCAAGAAACATGGAGCCACTAGAATTGCCGAATACCTTGCCTCAAGTTACTCACAAGGACTTCATACACCCCACAACGAGTCTCCTCCACTGATGGCGAACAAGATCTTTGGTCTTTCTTGAATCTCAGCAAATGAGAAGTTTGGCTAAACCTTTTTTCTTAGCATATGAGGGCATGTGACTAGAACATGGGCCTCTCTTGATCACATCTATGTGGGGCGTGCCCCCCTTCACAAGTATACAAGGGCGTGCCCCTCTTTTTCTTCTAAGTGTTAAGATAGTGAGAGAGAGATGAGAATGGAGAGAGGGTGGCGTGCCACCCTAGGAGGAAGAGAGAGGGATGGGCAAGCTTGGGGTGTAGAGAAAGGACCCCCCAATATAATGTATATATAATTTTGAGTTTTTGGTTTTTGGAATTAGGGTTGGCCATCATTATAAAGATTCTATCTTGACCATAGATCGTAGGTAACCTGTGGGGTGAGAGATCATAGCCATACAATCCTTAGATTAGCCGTCATGATCTAAAGGAAGGTGCTAGAACCTTATCCCTCAACTTCCTTAACCTAATCCCATCAAATATTGTATGTACTTTCAATCAATCTCTATACTTTCCTATTTTGAAAAAAATCATCCTCATTTCATAAATCTTTCCTTTTAAATTTCAAATCAACCTATGTGGCTTCTTCAACAAGCCACATTATGAGAAAATAAGGAAACAAGGAAAGAGTGGGGTGTCCCACTTAGGGAGGCCATTGTGGGACCCACGCCCCCATCTCAATGGGCCTAATGTGGCAGCTGCAATGAATATTGGGCCCCCACAATTTAAAAAAAAAATAAGTATTTTATTTTTCTCTCTGAATATATTAATTCCTGAAATATCAATTTTAGCCCTTTTAAAAATCTATTTTCATAAAATAAAATACCCAAAGCTATTTAAAAATTCACATTACTATTATAAAAATTATTTAATATAAAATTAAACATTTTAAATTTATTTGATGGAAATTGGATCCAACTCCGTTAAGGAAAATGTGGAAATACTAAGGCACTCCATCACAACTTGTGACTATGTCCCACACTTACTTTAGGGATAAATTAGTAAAAGAAGGAAAGTGGAACTCTAAGCACGAAGTTAATGTGAAATGTGATGGCTGATTGTATTAAGAAAGTAACAAAAGAAGTTCTAGAATAAACTAGAAGGAAAAGAAATTTTGATAAGAAAACGTAGTGGTAGAGTGAGGAGGTTCAAAAGGTCATTAGCAAAAAACGATTATGTTACAAAACTTAACAATGTAATAAGGAAATAGTAAGGTTAAACTTAAGGCATATGATAATCTATACAATAATTAAGATAAATAAAGGTGAAAAAGATGCCTTTCAAACTAACCAAAATGAGAGGAAAGTGTAGGGATCTAGACCATATTAAATGCATTAAGAGTGAGGATCAAAGTGTCTTGGTGAAGGATAACAAGATCAACGAAAGGAAGAGAGTTTGTTTTCAAAAATTGTTAAAAGACGAATATAATAGGAATACAGCGCTTGGAGGAACCTTTGGCATAAATAACGGCGGAGGTGATAGATACATTCGCAATATTAGAATGTCAAAAGTGAAAAAAATGTTGAGGATGAAGATAGGAAAGGCTTTAGAACATGTGGTATCCCGATAGAGGTTTGGAAGGGCATGGGGAAGATTGGCATATGTTGGCTGACCAAGTTGTTCAACAAGATGTTGAGAACAATAAAATGCAATACGAATGGAAAAAAAATATTGTGGTACCTATTTACAAGAACAAATGAGACATACAAAATTTTACAAACTATCAAGGGCTCAAACTTATGAGCCATACTGAAGGTGTTGATCGTTAATCTATTTATCTTATGTCTTTGTCAAACTCTCATTGAAAATCATGTAGGATACTCCAAACTCAATTTTCTGGTCTTTAGTGACTTTCTCAACATTTATGTCATTACTCTCAGAATCCAGGGCCACAATTTGTGATTTATGAGTTGAACACGTTTCATAGCACTACTCTAATTGCAATACCCTAAATTTCTTAAATGCTCTACCTCTTCGATTAGTGGTATCTCCAAAGGACATGATTTGGATTACTCCTCATGTTGCCTTCTCTCCATATACTTTACCCTCTTCCAAAATCTCTTCATCATCATCTTGATCTTTATTATTATAGATCAGATCCCTAAAAGGATCTTGTTGTTCATCAGAGTATGTATCAAAGATTAGATCTATAACTTGCTGATCTTTTATACAATCTGTGACAAAATCAAGAATCTCATCCTTCAAATTGAAAATCCTAGAGTGATGTTCCCCAAAACTAGGTCTTCTGTCACTATCCTCATCACTCGACTCCCCACACAGAGCGCAAAAGTGAAAAGGCTTGTAATCTAGATCCTCTTGGGCTGGATGATCACCGTCTTGCCCATTATTAAGGCTCGCAAACTGCTGCATCAACTGTTAAACTTGCCATTCAAGTTCCTTAATTCTTTCATCTCTGAGATCAAGGATGAAAGAATTATAATATAGATCCTTGCCGCCATGGGATCGTCGAAAATCACAAATCCTAGGCAGATGATCAATAAAAACCTGCCAAAATCAGCAAGATCTAGCCTTTGTTGTTGATCTAGGGCACAAAAAATGATGCTACAGTATCATACTACAATAACATGCTACAGTACCATATTGCAATAACGTGTTATAGTACTATCTGTATGGATCGTTGAACTCTAATACCCATTTGATGTCGAAAAATTTGAGAAAACAGTAAAATTAGCAAGAAAAAAAGCCAAACACATGCACAATTCAAGCTAGAGTTCTAAAAGCCTAAGTTTTTCTCTCATCCAATTTCTAAAAATCAAGTGGAATGACCCCTTTAAGGCTCCATACTCTTATTTACAGTTATTTAATGTTCCATGTTCAAGTACAAAAAGAGTCCAAACAGATAATACATCGACCCATATATCTTAACTTAAGCTTAAAATTCCTAATGACAATTTTACCGCTGTGAGCAGTATTCGTAAACAATATTTGTGAATAGTATTCATGAAACGAATAAATAAAACAAAAGCCTAGAATTCCGAAAAAACTAAAAGTCCCCTAGAAATAAACCCTAAAACTAAATTCTCAAAAAAAAAAAACACTAAAACTAAAACTATAATATACATCATTTGAAATTGAATAAAAATAAAAAACAAAAATAATGTTGCTCCTCATCACTACCATTGAACTACCCCCAAAAAAAGAAAAAGGATAATGTCTTCATACTATGGGAAGCGACCCCGAATGGTCTGCGGATTGTAATCTTGGTTATAATTGGGTACCCGTCCCACTTGAAATATGACACGGTTTCTATAATCGTGGGATAGCAGTCCTGAAAATTTGGACACGAGATTTGCTTTTTTTTTTGGCCCGGGGGGGCAGAAATGGAATCTCTTGTGCTAGGCACTTACAGCGCCTAAGAAAACCCTCTCAAGAATCGTGGGAGTGAGATCCCCGATAAGGCCAAGACCTTGGTAGAGGAATTCCCATAACTAGGGGCCACATCCACAAAAGAAAAGTTACTCCAATCAGCCCACATAAATTTCAAACAAGAAGTGCTTTCTTTTTACATCATGATACTTGTTATGTTGGCTTGGCTCAAAGTTATCCAAAACAAACAGAACAATCACATTTTGATTTTTGTGATGGAAAACAAAGAGATAGTGCAATTTATAGATTCAAGATGCCAATATACGCTGTCTCCTGAAAAAGAAGTATACTTTTTTTTTTTTGGATAATGAAAAGAAGGATACTTATTTGGCAGTGATTCTGAATCATACTAACATGAAACAAAACAACAGTCATGTCATAGCATACACAAGATGGTATAATAATACATCATTCTGAAACTGCAGAACAGTTTCGGCAATGAGCTCATATACAAATTTCATTTCCTTACAAATTCTCATGAAACTCAAAACTTCAAACATAGCAGTTTCAACCAGGACCAACTTAAAGGAAAGAGGAAAGTTTGCAGAGCCTTACTGTTTTCCATCTGCAAACATTATATCAAAGATAAAGACACAAATGTCAACCTGCGCATTGAAGGAAAAGGGTAAAATATTGGTTGGGAAATTATCACTATGATAAGAAATAACATATAGAGCAAAACATTGTCAGCAACTCATGGTCATCAATTAAAGATTGTGATGTAAAATGATATCCTAAACTAATCGTCTATACCATTATGATAACCTAAACTAATCGTCTACACCAAACGATGAGACAAGGATAAGTCTTAATCTCTTAGGTGGAACTCTCAAGCCAAGTGTTGAAGCTGAACATGTAGAACATTTGAGACGATTTGCATTGAAACAGTTCAATATTGGAATGTGATATGACTTCTCGGAATTTTACTCGACTTCCACCGCTCTCTGATACAAGGATAACAAGTGACATTGAGATACCATGATATATGGCGTCTCAACAAAGAGTGCCCATTGAAAGGTTGAAAGCTCTAATACTAAGTACGGTAAAACATATTCGCACATGATTAAAATATCTGCTACCTTAGACTAGTTTATAGCCTATTTATCTGAACAAATTGCAGCATTTTAATGCCCGATATGAAACTCTCGCAGGCATGGAACCTTACAGCTGAAGTTCACAAATTCAACCAGGCAATTTTGAATTAAACAGCATCCCCACAATGCTAGTATGCTGAAAACATATTTACCATATGTCCATAGTACGGCTTTGATATCTTTACCAACTTTGATATTGTTGGCAGCAAATGATAATATCTTAGGTGTGGAAAGTTAAAACTGACAGCAACAAATGAGAGAATTTTATAAAATTTCCAGTTACACAGAGTGTACATGTATCATCGGAATAGAGAATTATCCGACAAACTAATATTTTCTACAATTTGTCTATGGCATCTTGCAGAAATATTTGTAGATGTGTTTGAGCTTTGCAAGCCTGTGACAGAGTCCTCTCATATACTCTTGAAGCCAATGAGTCTGCTGATTTTTGGCTGGTACACTGTCGAATACCTAAATCTCTAAGGTGGATACTGCATTCCTTTATCCTATGCTTTTAAACTCAAGACTCGGGTTGGCACTCGGCCAGGTTCTGAGCCAACTGCTATGGGATCAAATTGGCTGAACTGAACATCATAAAGACTCAGCTGAGCATTGGCAGGAGTCACCTGAGTCTCGTATAACTCACTGAGGCTGGCCAGGTTACCTAGCCGAGTCAAATCAGGTGACCTATTAGTTGACTCAGCAAGTTTTTTAAAAGTACTTTTATTTAATTGAGATGCTGCCTCAAAATCACCCTCCTGTTTATTTGCTCCTGACACTTATTTGGATTGTCAATTTGATTAATCACTTTTAATTAAAAAAAAAGTTTGCTTGCAGCAGTGTACAAGAAACAAACAACCACTCATGCAGAACATCCTAGTGTCAGCCACTGTTTTATATAACTCTAAAAAAAGTGAGAAAAGGGGAAAATGATAACAAGGATCATACGAAACAAAAAATCCTTGGAATAGAACCATCACACTTAATGGATAGTCATACATCTAGAGTAGGTCAATCACAAATATAAAAAGAATACATAATACAGATCCGAGAAATTTAATGAAAGTGTTTGTCGTTCTCTAAAACATGCCTACATTATTTGCACGAGAAAACAACAAAGAAATGACAATGGAATAGCAAGAAATGGTAAAGCAAATTAATAACTTCACCTTTATACTGTCAAGTGTGACAACAGAATCATTACCCCCCCTTTCACGTGAAGATAAATGCTGGAAGGGCAGGATCTTATTCCCATTCTTATGATCAACTGCAACAACCTAGGGATGAAGGAAAAAATTTGTAGAAAATCACTAGGAGGTATACCTGTCAACCCAGAAATATGACCAGCATGTCCAATAACAAGACTATCAATTTGATCTTAAACTAACTACCTACCTCAGTATCCAATATAAAAGTCATTGCAGTAGGTTTACATGATCCTTGGACTATCTTCACCAGATCTGGAAATCTGCACGTTGTTTCTTCCCCATTCCGTGAAAATAAACGTATAGAACCATCCATCAATTTGTGAATTTGAGCACGCTGCCCGTCATATCTGAGACAAATTTTCAAGAAAATGCCATTTGCTCATCATCTATGAAGTAAATTATCAACAAACTGCCGTTGCATATTCAAATAATAATTTTCTAAAGAAGATACGTGATGCAATTTAAGAAGCATCAAGAAATTGATGGCCAAATGGACTCTTTAAAGACTGACAGGAAGAACAAGGTGGTGTGGTTTGATGTTCTCATCACACTGATAGGGGAACCTACAAGGATCAAAATGTACATAAGAAAAGGAAAAGAGAAACACCAAAAATATAGGCAACTAGAATGCCAGAAGTCCAACACAGAATAACATAATTCATTGTCTATCTTAGAACCTTGGACACTACTATGGAATTTAAAAACCTCAGATATGGCTACTTTCAATTAACAACATTTTTAAGGAAAAACAGACAAATGTAAGCGATACAAAATAGATGTAAGCCTAAAACTAGAACTCATATGTTGTAGTCACCTTACAGAGAGTGAGATGCCATGTGACAAAGCCAAAACAAAAAGGGCAGATAGAAAAGATAGATGATGCCAACTAACAGACAAGAATCTTACTTATATTCACATGTAAAAGCTCTTCCTTCAAACTTTTTCAAGGCATGAGAAACTCCATTGGTAATTCTGTTGTTGCGAACAACCAAAATATATGACAATATGAAACAATAACCAAAAGACCTAATGCATTCTCGAACAAAATTTACCCATCATAACAGAATATACTTATACTAACTGAGTACCTAGAAAGCATGGGCCTAATGGGTATGCCGGGGAGCATAGACAAATTCGCTGCAGAAAACTCAGTCCTTTCTCTCATGAGTGCAGGAACCAGTAGATCCTGTTTGTAAACAAGCACAGAAACAAAAGATATTAAAATAAAAGTTTTATTATTTAGTTTGTTCCAGCTGTCACAAAGAAGTCTAAAAAATATTTCAATGGATAGAATGCAACGTAATGTCAAATAACCAATCAAGCCACATTTTTTATGCCTACCTAGACAAGCCACATTTTTTCTTCCCCAATCAGTAAGTAATTAAGCAACATTTCTAACCGAAATTTCCTAGTTCATCATCTGAAGTTAAGATGCAGTATATGCCAATTAACTCCTCAAGATCTTGTTACACCAAAACTTCCATGCATGGGGCAGAAAAGGCCAACCAAGCAAGTACCATAAAACCATAACCAACAGTAAACCAGCGTAGAAACTTGTCATGAAAGATGTTATTTGTACATTTAGTAACAAGTACACTACAGTGGTAAAATAATCACTTCCATGGTCAAGGGTACTTCTGATATCATGTACAGCATATAGGCATAATGTGCATCCTTGCCTCATGGGCAGAAGTTGTATCTTTTGAATATAATTGTATGCATAATATAGGCTCATAAACCATTACAAGTACCACTTTAACCAAGATGTCCATGAGACAATGATGGTATCAAATGTAAATTATTAAAAACACCTACGACTCGAAGTTTATCTCAAATATTCTATAGACTGATGACCATTAAAAATCAACAAGCAGATCTACTGATCGTGTCACTACAAGTAAATACAACAAGTTCCTTGAGCAGCAAAGACTGATGAAAAGGAGAGCTAGAAACATGTCTTCACCCTCATAATACATCCGAAAGGAACCAAAAATTTTTTAATTTGGTTTCGTATACAATAATACTAATTCTCAAGTATTAAATATTACTGCATGTCAAATAACAAATTTTAGCCTCAAATTTCCAAACATCAGACTTTGATTTGAAAAGAGAAATTAAACTCCCACAACCAGATGACTAATAGGACTGTCTGCTTCAAATGTCAAATGTGCAGAACTTTGTAACTAGCTAAAATGTTTGGGAATTGCTATCGATACTGAATTTTAACAACTGACAGTCTCAGAATGAACAGGGTAATGCTCAGATTTTTTTTAATGGCATATTGCGCTCATATAACAAGTTGGAATAGTTTGTCTCAATACCTTTATCTTTCTGAAGAATGCTACAGTCATTAAAAGAATCATTTCAGGCAACCTTTTGTCGAAAACATATAAAAAGCACACATGTAAAAATTGCACATTAATTTCCATACTCTAATATTGAACCACAACACTCAGCCTTTCACATGCTGAACAGGCAGAAGATACCCTTGCAAAGCAAGGAGCAAAGGCATCAAAAGAGAAGATTTGGCTGGTGAGGCTCCCAGATTTTACAGATGTATCTTTTTTTGTTTTTCCGCTTAATATCTTAATACCCCATTTCTAAGGGTCAGTCATTGTAGTCAACTTGTATCAATCATTTTGTCACCAATGAAAACATAGTAGGGGACCTTTTCCCCATTAGTTTACCCATAGAGAGAGAGAGTGTGTGTGTGTGTGTGAGAGAGGAGAGAGAGGTGGAGAGACAAAGGGTAAGTTCCATAAAGCACAGGTCAGTAAATAATAATCATCAAGAAAAGTTCTCTTTCCATTCATACCAGCATGCAGTACAATTGAACAGAAATTGGTACATGTCAATCCATAAAAAATACGAAGCACTCAAGTGAAATATCGTAATGCATACCAAATTGGGCAGTATATTATACACCTCAAGAACTGCTGCAGATAGGCCCTGACATTTTGGAAAAGAGTAAGTCAGATAACTTCTACAGCAAGTAACCAGGTATATAAGGGAAATTTATCAAACCACACTCAGGATATTCACTACCTAACATTTCACCTATCCCTTTGTCGTATTTTTGAAATGGCAAGGTACACACGAAGTAGACATCAAAAGGGGGCTCAAAAATTGACGGGGCAATTTCCAATTTGGCCCCTCTATCAAAAGCAGTGTTTTAAAAAACGGGTAGGTGGAGTGGATTGCACCCAACCAATCACAAACCAGATTGCTTGGATCGGCGAACCGGGATAGGCTGGATCAGTGATCACAAAAAACCAAAGGCAAGAAAATGCATGTATGCACTAAATAAGATATATTTTAGCACATGATTAAGTGTTTTATTGGTTGGACCTTAAGTTGTTCACCACAAAGTCAGACATTTGAATCATCCTTTCTTTTTAACGATTAAAAGAAAAACAATATAAAATGCTATGCATGCCATATAGTTAGTATTTATCAAAAGAAAAAAGCTCCCAGGAATGCTTGAACCTCCGGCCTTATGGACAAGGTCAGAGAGCTCTAACCACCAAAGTTATTTACAATTTTTTGTATGACTTATATGCATTATGCACTACAAATTAAATGAACCGCCACTTCAGCTCATGAACCAGCATGTTCTTGGGCAATTCCAATCTGGACCAGCTATTACCTATCTGTATAAGCAATTTGTTAATCATTGATCAAAACAAAGTTGTTTTTTGGAAAACCTCCTCTGTGAGATGGTGGTATTTTTGAAATATCGATGCCTCATACGGAATGTAGTAAGATATTGGAATTTGAACATATCAATATCTCACGGAGTGATTTATTTGTTAAAATATAGGTTTCAGAAAACACAAGAATCTCACAAAAGCTCAACATCCTTAAAATAATGGCATTGGAAGATACCAATGTCCAGCAAAATAACCACTGTATGGAAATTGTAGGCTAACCGCTTTTCTAAACAAATAGCGTGCTAGTTCACCATGTCCAACTTTCAAATATTCTATAAGCACTCTAACTGCTTTTCTAAATAACTACTAGATTGCCAAAATAAATAAATAAAAGCCTACAATCCCTAAAGAGATGAGAGATATAAGAGAGAGAAAGAGGGTAATGTCCCACCTTGTGAGCAGAGAGAGACGTGTCTCGAGGTGTAGAGATGGGGCCCCAAATGAGACACAGGGTTAGGGTTAGGGTTAGGGTTTCAAGGTTTAACCATCCTTATGGAGATCCGATCTTGACCATGAATCATATAAGACCTGTGGGGTGAGAGATATTAGCTTTACAATCCATAGATCACCTATCATGATCTAATGGGAGGTGCTAGAACATTATCCTTCAGCTTCCTTAATCCCATCAAATATAGTGTAGAGAAAATTCAATATTCTGTCCTTTTATTTTCTCGACTCTCTTACACATACCTCTTTGAAAAGTCAAAATATCTTTTCCATTTCCAAACTTCCCTTTTAATCAATTTGATTGAATGGCATATCATATGCCTTAACAAAATAGGAAGGCGTGTAATATGTGGGGCATGCCACCCATGGAGCCTCTAGTAGGTCCCATGCACTTCTGCACATGCTCTAATTTGGTGGGGCCCATCGAGTATAATGGGCCCCCATGTGTTTTATTAATTTCAAAATTATGAAATTGATTTTTAGAATTACTATTTTATTTTTCTCTCTAAATAATTAAATACAGAAAATTCAATTTAAGCCTATTTATGAATCTGTTTTGAGAAAATAAAATATCCAGAGACTTTTAAATATTCAAAAATCATTTATAGTCAAATTAATTACTTCTAAATTAATTTGACGGGATTTAGATCCAACAATGTTAGGGAAAATGCAAAATTACTGAAGCACTTCTACTAGAGACCATGAACCATACTTACTTTTTCAAACTGACCTAGTAGTTCTGATGACCCACAGTCCATCACAGGGGTTCATAATTGGGCTACCAAAATCAATCTATAGGTGAGGGGACACAATCCTAGATTATGGATTACAGGTTCCCCTTAGGGACAAGCCTAGGTCACACAGACCTATGTACACACATCGCAGTTTGGTGCAAGGGGGCTATCTCTCTCATATATACACATATCAGTGCATCACCCTCAAAGGTGCTTTGCAACCTGATACGGCTATCATGTGTACATGTCGTGTGATGGTTTATGATGAGGCTTTGGCCCTTATCCCTTTAGGTGCACAAATCACACACAAGGGTCACACAGTCCCTTGGCTCACTATGTTGGACATCTCTGACCTCATCAAAGGGCCTACTAAGCCTTCTCAATTGTGCTCTAGTTTTAGTACTCAAATGGCCTAGCTCGTCAAGCATAGTTAAAGTCTCGGCAACAATATTGCCAACTTCGATCCCTCTAGACCATAATCCCACTGGAGTTCATTGCTCCACTATAATAAAATTGGTTACATACTCTCATAAAGCCTTTAAATAGCCAGAAAAACCCAACAATGTTTTGTTTTATCAGGGGTAAAATTGCCATTACAAATTTTATTTTAAGTTAGAACTATTTTGGTCATTTTAAGTTAGATAAAGGCATTATAGACTTTTGAGCTTAAGGTCAATTTCTTCTTTGGATGTCCTTTGAATATTTAATAAAGGATATATAAGTCGCCCGTGGAGGTCATACACATGACTTACTTTTCAGAAAGAAAAGAAAAAAATTGAAAGCTCTTAAGCTTTGAAACCCAACCAGGCTGTGAGGAAGAAACCCTAGGGTCTCTCCTAGTTATTGTTGTGTATGGCTTGAATTACTAATGTTTGGTGTTCTCTTTCAATTTCTCTACATCATAAGCTGGAAAGAGGTTGGCACTTACCCGTGAATAGCAGGGCAGAAAAACCACATGCCTTCACTCCTCAATGGGCGAGAGCAAGAACGAGATCATTCCTTGATAAGTAATCCATCCAAACTAGGTCTAAGCATGATGTTTGTATGATGTTTGAAATTTTGAAGCTCATTGAATTGTGGACAAATATAATTTTGAAATATTGAGGTAACAAATTGATGTTTGAAATTTCAAAATTGAACTACATCATTGCCCGCAATAATATAATTCTATTTAAGGAGTATTCCAATTGGTTGTCCACTTGCCATTTTTAAATGACCGACTGATGCAAGACCAAGTTACTTTTTAATTTTTGTTTAAATTCCAAGTATGTATACTTTTAGTTAACTTTAATTTTAGGGTTCTTTTAGTTTTTTTGGGATTACAGGATTTTATATTTTTAATATTTTGGGAATTGTTTATAAAAGTAGTTACTGTTTATCAAACATTTTATTTTATCAGGGTAAAAATGTCATTATGGACTTTTTTTTTTTTTAAATTAGGATTGTTTTGGTCATTTTAAGTTAGATCAAGGGCATTATGGACTTTTGTACTTAACTTAGGAAATAGGGATTAACAATAATGTTCTTTGAATATTACATCATGATGTGCCACAAATGCCCTACTCTAGGGTTGCAACTATATGAGCTGTATTTTTCTTTTTTACTATTAATGAAAAATCGGGTAGGGGGCCTTTTCCCAACTAACTTACCCAAGAAAAAATAAAGGATATAAAAGTGGTCCATGGGGCATTCACGTGACTTTATTTTCAGGGAAAAAAAAGTGAAAACCCTAGGTTTTTGAACCCTAGCTTGGGTGTGAGGAAGAAGTTCTAGGGTTTCTCTTAGTTACTGCGTGTTGGCTTGAATTACTGTTTTTTGCTATACTCTTTCAATTCCTATACATCAGCTCATTAGGACAACATTGCAAATCTCTCCTCAGCCCATTTTAAAAAGTACGTTTTTACACTTTTTTCCTAGACAACGCCATTTTCTTTATATAATAGGGCACCATCTAAATAGGGACCTAGGAAACATACAAACTGGTGTTAATACAAATGCAAATTTCATTGTGTATGGACAACTGCAGCTCAAACATTGAACTGATATTCAAGTCAATCTATAAAGCACCATATTTTCTCACACTACATATACAGGACACAAGTGTTTGACTTGGTAAAGGTTTAGAAATATTAGATATTTTTTAAGGAAAAGACACAGGACATGACCTATTATTCATAAGTTATAGATATGATACCTTGCTTTTATTTGTAAAAATTTTAAAAGGAAAAGCTTTATAAAACTTAAAACACAATAATTATGTTTTAGCAAATTTGAAGAACAATAAAAACAGCAAGAAATCCAGCCAAACACAAGTAAAATTTGGAGAACCCTAGGGTTTCCTCCTCACCCCAAACTAGGTTCCAAAAACCTAAGATCTTTCTTTTTCAATTCTAAAAATCATGTGGAATGACCCCCGCCCTTCCACCTCTTATATTTTAGAATTTAATATTTAAATGTGGCTTGTACTTTAATGTGATAATGGGTATTCATTATATTATCAAAAAAGAAGGTACTGTCAAAACGAGAGAATCGTATTTATTTTTTTTTGGCTTAGTCGTGCTTGATATTGTGATTGATTTCTTGCTTTATTTCATCTTTTCTTACCTTGACTATGGTACCATTGTTTTATGTTTTGGACTTGTACCTGATCAATACATACCCGTAGTCACTGGATTTCACATCTAGTGGTTGATAATGATTGTGACTTCTTTATGCCGAAAGTAAATAGTCTTGTTGTACATATTTCCTTATTTTATTTGGAGGCTTATATTGTCTGTGGTCTGAGTCACTCAAAACTAGTGAAAATATTAGTCAAAACATTTTGGACATTGACGCTATGGATCCTTGTCAGATTCCTTCCTTGGGGGGTGCATATAGTGCACCACCTAGACATGTTTTGTGAATTTCTTAAATGATACGGAAGGGTGTGGGGAAGGTTTGGACATTCCAATTGCTAGCAATGGGAAAGAAATAGCACTAGTGAAGAAATGAATTTTGGAAAGGAGATTCAAGATCTTCTTTTTTTGAAACTGTAGGAGATTCAAGTTCTTGAAAGATGGTAAACCTCTATAGTGATTAATTATATGGTTGATATGTTGCTTGTTTGATGCAGGCCAATATTATTCTTATTTTTAATTTTTATTCAATTTCAAAGAATGTATATTTTAAGTTTTAGTTTTAGGGTTTATTTTTAAGTTTTAAAAAAAAAATTGGATAAATATTTAAGTAAAAGCCACATTGAAATCCAAGGGCAAAGATATCCTGTTCTTGTAGCTTCTCACACTGTTTAAACTTATATAACTTACTTAACCATTCAGTTAAGACAAATAAATATACCAACATCACAAATTGAGAACAGCATAGCAAGTTAACCTAGAGAGTCAAATCTCCATCAAGTGGAACAATCGTACAAAAGTATAATCCAAAGAACAACCCACCAAAGAACTGACCTGAAGCTGTAATTTAAGGCCATCCAAAGCTCCTTGAGGTGAGGAATTCAGCACCACAGCTTGCGCAAGTGCAGGCAAAACAGTTCGCATTGAGGCCCCGATACGCATGTTCCGCACCTATAAAACCATTGGCAAACAGAAGCAAGCATGAATAAAAAAAGAAAAAATAAATTGAACAAAATATAATTCAGTGACATGTTCCACTGGACCTTAGCCAAAAGTAGTGAGACAGAAATGCCAGTAGTCCTGAATATTACATCAATGGAGATGAGGATTTGAGGTTACCATTGATATTCCAACTCTCAAAAAATTCATTCCTCACTGCTCATCATCAAGCACAGCGCATCTAACAGCCATTTTGATACTATAGATATCACAAAGTTCAGAAGCTGAAACATTAAGTGCAGCACATTTTGTGATAAGCAAACAGCTTGCAAACTATTTCAAGAAAGTGCCACAGTGAGCAAACTGCAGGAAAAATATGATGGCATCACCAATTGTGTCGATACAACTTCTATTACAAAAAGAGTCAACAGAGAACCTAGAAACCAAATTTCATCATATTCACTTCAGAGAGCTCTTTGTCTAGGCTGGGAAAGGGAAGTGCTTCAGTTCTTCAGCCCATTTGGTGGATATCTTCATAAGGCAAACGGATCGGGCCAACCTGTCAACTGAAAGTGGATGAAGTGAACTAGCATGGTCTATGTAGTTAAAAATTATCTTTCTCGATACCGGCTAGAACACCTACATATGTCCAAGAATTACAATTAAGACTCAAATAAATGAATCCTTGTAGTTGGAGGACTAGCATGGTCTATGTAGTTAAAAATTTTCTTTTGCGATACCTGCTAGAACACTTACATATGTCCAAGAATTACAATCAAGACTCAAATAAATGAATCATAGTTGTTGAAGGCGGGAGCAGCATCGGTTCTGGATCCGCCGAACAGGTCTATAGTGGAAGCTCCCCAGGGTTAGGATCGTCGTCCGTACAATGAACAAGACAAGGAACGAGATCCTTAGGTTTATGGGAGCGAGATCTAATTTCAATGAGTTCGATGTTTTGACTAGCAGGAATCTAAGCTTCACTATACAAAAAAATAAGGTTGTAAGTAGAGCTAGTACAAGTTCCCTTGGTTAAGAAATCGAGGTTTAAGTATGTCATACAATAGGCTTCCTCCTGTTCTAATATCGAGATTCTTAAAGTATAAGAATCAAGGTCCTTAGTTGATTAGCCCTGAGGTCTGCAAGTGCCATTTACAAGGGATCCCTTATCAAGTGGCCCCCCGCCCTTAACAATGGATTATTTATTTTTGCGTGAATAACAATAGATTAATTATGTAGCTCTATAAGTCAGCCTTTCTTATGACCACTACATCTTCAAGCCATGACACAAATTTGGCACGCACCATTCCCTTTGAGTCCCCGATAATCGAGAATCCTACCACTCAACAGTCATCTTCATCGAATGTAATCTCCTC